CGCTGCTGCCAGCTCGAAACTTAACTGCAAGTCCCAGGATGGGCCGTAGTTTGTCTTTAACCCGTGTTCCCGCAGCTGAGGGGTAGCAACAGAGCGTCCGATTCTCGTTATTTTACGGTCTCTGGTCTTCAAGACTACAGAGCCAGCGCCAGGAGAGCGGAGCTCCGTTTCTTTCATGGTTGTTTTGAATAGAACCTGAAGATTTTATAAGCATAATTCATTGACTTCGAAAGCTTAAGTTGGCAACATTCAGAGAAATATAAAAAGGAAGAGGAATGAAAAGCAAGCTAGATTTCAAGAAAACTGTCAAGTTCACCTATGTTTTTGGGGATCTTTTAATTGTTTTTAAAACGTACATCAAGGTCCCCATTACACTGGCTGGGTGTCTTTGAAGTGAAATCTCTTCTAGATTGATATTTAAATGGATAAATATTTGTTCCTTATCCCTGATTTTTACCTGCATCGAGAGAGTTACTGGAAAGGATGGGAAAGAAAAACAGCAATTCCCTTGGAAGACCCTAAAGGAATTACTGTCTGGCAGGAGCTGAAAAGTAACAACCTGAACAAGAACAGCTAATTAGCCTGATGCTCGAAATGCCTGGTGCGCCTCCAATCCCATTGGTAGATCAAGTGTTGCAATGGGCACAAATGACTTAATCCCTGGAAGGGAGCCATCTCTCCCCAGTAAAGGAGCAAGATATTATGGGATGCAGTAGGTAGCTGCGAGGCTTTGAGCGGTCAGAGCTCTCACCATAGAAAATTATAAGTCAAGTGCCATACCGCCTGTTCTGGTGGTAGTTCTCATCTGTCCGCTGGCATGCAGGAGCTGCAAGCTTTCAGTGAAGACACAACAGTGTCATGTTTGCTGTACAGGATATGAGGAGCAAAAGCAGTGCCTGTTCTGAGTTACTTTTCCCTGGGAAACCATGAAGGTCTTAACAAAGGAAAACCGGAGCACTGTTACGTCCGTTATGTTTCTTACATCGAGCAGACTTCTTGCTGGACGCTGACCACAAAAGCCTAGGTACAAATTCTGTTGGCTGTGGAGGGGTTTATCATCTTGTGGCCACAACAGACTGAAAGGGGGTGCCAGCTCTAACACGTTTCACCTACTCCTGCTTGCAACGTTCAAGGATTTGGTGGGTGCTGAACTTCCACCTTAGCAGGTAGGGCTGACGTGTACCTACTGCCCTGCAGAGCTCCTAACGGCTACCAGCAAAAAAACCTGCACCATCTCAAAGAGCAAAACCAAACAAAGTTCTTTATCTGACCAACACCCATCGTTGCGTTTCACAGTATTACTGTGGCTCAGTGTCCAGAGAAACATTCAGGCAGTTAATGCTGAAAATGGCATCATAGGTTAAACACTTATCTTTTGGTGCCAAGACCCAGCTCCCTACAGCACAGATGAATGGGAAATGGGCTGCCTGCTGGAAGGGACAATCTGTTTTGATTTTCCTTGGCAGACAAGCCTGTGCATTTTTGAAAGTGTGGGGAGCACAAATGGTGCCCAGGTTCCATTTGGCCATTTCTCAGGAAGATCCCCAGTCCCATTTCACATCTTGAAAGAAACTGGACAGGAGCTACCTGGAAACACCTTCCCACATCCAACATCACACTCCAAAACAGTTAAAGATTTGAAGTAATAAACAAGGACAAGAAGGGTTTTATGGTGTGCATTGGACTCTTCCCCTCAGCTTCACAATTAACCTTTAACAGGAAAGTTGTGTGTTTATTCATATAGCAGCTATCTGTGTGCACTTGCACAAATCCTTGTTAATGCTAATTCCACATTAAAAAAGAGGCAAAATTTGTGGGTGCAATCACAGAATGACTTCAAGCTGTCAGAGAAAAAAAGCCAATATATCAAGGAGGCAACACTGGAAGTATCTTACAGGACTGTCATGAGACTTCATCTGGAACACCATATGCAGTCACCATAGGTCTGGTCACCAAGATTCAACAAAGATTCTTTCACAATGGGACAGATGGAAGAGCCTCTAAGATGCAGAAGGGAATTGAGAGTGTCTCAAAAACAGGACTAGGTCTTGGCTCCTTCAGCCTAGCAAGATAAAGGCGGTACAAGTGCCTTAAAAAGCTTACAGGCAGCAAAGAGCATGAAAATATTTATGGCAGAGAAAAGTGCTGGCACAGACACAACTGTGTATGAACTGCCGAAGAACAAATTTGGGCTGGAAATCATGTTTTCCAGGAGGTTCTGGAAAAGCCTCTATCTCTAAGAGATATTTAAGAAAGAAAATCATTTGTGTCTAGGGTTATAGGGCATGGTTGTCACTGTACGGTAGTAGATGGCTCTGGTGCAGAGCGGTGTCCCTGTGGGTCAGTCACCAGACCCAACAGCTCCCCCCAGGGCACATTGCGAAGGACCAAACCCTTCCCTTCAGTTCATCTGTCAGACCTTACTCTTGGTTTGACTCCCAAAGCCCTTAGCTTAAGTTCCCTCATCCTAAAGCACTGAAATGTTTCTGCAAGAGTCAATACCTTATAACTGAACAAAACACCCAGCCCACTCGACCGCAGTGCAAGATTTGAAGTGAGACATTGGTGGGATCTGCCATCCTCTAGCTGGGCCCTCGTGGGGAAGGACAGAGAGAAACAGCCCACAGCTATTTTCTGCTTGTGATAATTATAGTATCAAAGGCTGAACCAACAGGTTCTTTAGCAAGGAGATTCCCTGCAGCTTGCAAGATACAGATATCAGAATACCCTACAGATTCACAGCTCGGGTTTCAGGTGACTCAGAATAATACTGTGCCGTATAATAATTTCATGTAATTCCTTGTTCAAGCTGAAGAACTCAATTGATAATGACTGTCTATAAAAGTTAATAGCAGGCTACATTAAAACGCTTGCAGGATTATCTCTAGGCAACTGCAACAATATATTACTAGCAGTAGAACCATCACCAGCCCTTGGGCTTCACGAGTGGTTTCCTGTAGGCCCCATTTTCTGAGCCTGAACTAGACTGGAGACCAGCACAGTGGGACCTCTTGCCCCATCCCTGGGGCACAGCAACAGAAGCTGACACGCCAGGGGAGGCTCCGGAGCCCCCCATGGGCAGCCACTGCCGGGTCCGCGCCAGTGGCTGTGTGCTGCAGCAGCTGGAGGGACACTCGGAAACCCCAGAGCCCTCCTCACTGTTTTCTTTCAGCAGAGCAGAGCAGGGAGGCTTTGATCCCACGCATCCCACCCCCTGTGCCCATAGGCACTGTACCACACGTTATGAGTCCACTCACCGTGAGCCCAGCAGTCGGACAGCCCAGAGTCCCCGCAGCTCCTGCTTGCCATCCAGGGGTCGCCAGCAGGATGGTGGTCCGGGCGTGCGATCA